GAGGGAGAGAGGGAGAGAGGGAGAGAGGGAGAGAGAGGAGGAGAGAGAGAGGGAGAGGTGAGAGAGAGGGGGAGAGAGAGGAGAGAGGAGGAAGGGAGAGAGAGGGGAGAGAGAGGGAGAGAGAGGGAGAGAGAGGGAGAGAGAGGGAGAGAGAGAGGAGAGAGAGGGAGAGAGAGGGAGAGAGAGGGAGAGGGGAGGAGAGAGAGAGAGGAGAGATGAGGGAGAGAGAGGAGAGAGATGAGAGGAGAGGAGAGAGAGTGGAGAGAGAGGAGAGAGAGAGAGGGAGAGAGAGGAGAGAGAGGGAGAGAGAGGGAGAGAGGAGTGGGAGAGAGGAGAGAGGGAGAGAGAGGGAGAGAGAGGGAGAGAGAGGGAGAGAGAGGGGAGAGAGAGGAGAGAGAGGGAGAGAAGGGAGAGAGAGGTGAGGAGAGAGGAGGGAGGGAGAGGAGAGAGAGGGAGAGAGAGGGAGAGAGAGGGAGAGAGAGGGAGGCGAGAGAGGGAGAGAGAGGGGAGAGAGGGAGAGAGAGGGAGGAGAGGGAGAGAGAGGGAGAGAGAGGGGAGGAGAGAAGGGAGAGGGGAGGGAGAGAGAGGAGAGAGAGGGAGAAGAGAGAGGAGAGGAGGGAGAGATGATTTCACAGCAAAAATAGTTTCAGGGTACAGAAGAAGTAGTAGGTAAAAAATGATCCAAAAGGACTCATCTTCTTACCATCTTCACACATATCCTGTCTATGCAAGGTCATCCTAAATCATTTTATATTCCCTCCTAAATGCATCCAATATCGGCATCAACCCCTTCCACACAAAACTCTTAAGTCCCTAACCATTCCCTGAATTCCCTTCCCACAATATATTCAACCCTCTCCTAACAACATTTTGCTATTCTCTAAACAACCCATTGTATCATTACCACTCTTCCTAATTCCATGCTACACATTTCCTGCTAACATGTCCACCCCTTGCACATAGATACCTCACTTCCTCATTTCCCCTGCGCTTCTATCCATGTCCTCACACATATAAGTAATGGTCCCTATAGATCACAAACCTTCTTCCTCATAAATGTTTTTAGCTTCCATCCATCTCTAATGCACCACAACCCTTCAACAATCCTATTTAACCTCATTTTCCATACCATCTCTGCAAGTTATTTAACTACCTACACATTCCTTTTCATACTCACTCCTCCATCCTTGTATCCATGCTTACAATCATTCGTACCTTCACCTTACATTATGTTATTTTCAACTTTCTTCCTTACACACCTCCAATCTGTCAATACCTTTGGCAATTTCTTTAGACTTTCCAAAATACATTACTCAGCAAAATAACTTGTCACTCCAATTTTATGTTGATCCCATAATTTAATCCACCCATCTCCCCAACCTAGCATTTATTCTTTTACAACCTCATCTTAAATATGTAAACAACTGTGTGACATTACCATCCCTATCTAAGGACTGTTTTACAGAAAGTAATCTCCTTCTCTACACACACTAACTGAAGCCTCATCCTCTTAAATCTTTACTGCATTTCATTTACAGCACTTAAACATCAGTGCCTTTACACAAATAACCCCCACATAGAAGAGAGGAGCTTACGACAATGTGTCGGTCTGACTTGGACCATTTACAATGTCACACTAACGAAAAAGAGAGGAGTATATAGCAGGTTTGTAGTGGTGTAGTGGGAAGTGTATGGGGAGGAGGAGCTAGTCAAATATTGAGAAAGAGGAGCACTGCAAGGGAGCTAGGTACCCATAGAGGGTAAGAGCAAGAACACAGAGGGGAAGAAAATAAATAAAAAATGAAGAAACAAATACCCAAGGCAGAAGAAAGACAACCCAAAGGAGAAAAAGGAAAGAGGAAAGGGGAAGAGGGAGAAGAAAAAGAAAAAGGAATCAGGTTAAGTCACAGGTGTTCTGAAGTTTGGAGCATTTTACAATGTAGTGGGAAAGGAAGGTATCTACAAAGACAAAGCCAGGACTAAGATTCATACAAGGAAAGTTGTGTATTAGGGAGGATTCAATCAGATGGCAACTGTTAAAACTGGAAGTAGGGAAGACAGTTTTAGCAGAAGACCAGTCAATAGGATGACTGCGATCTCTGATGTGACAGAAAAGAGGATTGTTAGTGTCAGCAAGCCTAACGCTACTTCTGTGCTCCCTAAGTCTGTCAGAAAGAGATGGACCAGTTTCTCCAAAGTACTGAAGAGGACAGGAGGAACAAGAAATAGGAGCATCTATAGAGGGAGAAGTATGAACGAGTTTAGTGTGAAGAGAGTTAGTCTGGCATAAAGGAAGTTTGATGTCTAAGGAATGGAGAGAGTTGTTGAGATTAGAAAGACTGGAAATGGAGGGAAGGCAGAGGACAGAAGAGTTCCCAGGAGTAGAGAGTTTGGGAGGGAAGAAATTACGTTTAGCACATGAGAACACAAGAGTCAATGAAATGGGAGGGGTAGCCAAGATGGGAAAATGAATTATGAAGAGTGGTAATTTCTGACTGAAGGAACTGAGGATTACAAATGCGGAGAGCACGGAGAAAGAGGGAGATAAAAACTCTTTTCTTGACAGAGGAAGCATGATAAGAAAAGCAGTGAATGTACATGCAACTGTACATAGGCTTGCAGTAAACGGAAAAGACAAAACCTGTGTCTGAGCGGTGGACATGGACATCAAGGAAAGGAAGCAAGGAATTAGATTCCCATTCAGCTTTAAACTTAATGGAAGGGGCAAGGTTATTAAGAGCACCAAGAAACGGTTGGACGAGACTAGAGTCAAGAGGCCACAGAGCAAAGATGTCATATTCACTCTGAATCTTATATGAATCTTGTATGAATCTTAGTCCTGGTTTCATCTCTGTAGATGCCTTTTTTTCCCACTACATTGTAAAATGCTCCAAACTTCAGAACACCTGTGACTTAACCTGATTCCTTTTTCTTTTTCTTCTTCTCCCTCTTCCCCTTTCCTCTTTCCTTTTTCTCCTTTGGGTTGTCTTTTTTTCTGCCTTGGGTATTTGTTTCTTCATTTTTTATTTATTTCCCCCTTCCTCTGTGTTCGTGCTCGTACCCTCTGTGGGCACCTAGCTCCCCTGCAGTGCTCCTCTTTCTCAGTATTTGACTAGCTCCTCCTCCTCCATACTACCTTCCCCACTACTACTTTCTACCTCCACTACTACCACTACCACCTCCTGCCTATATATACTCCCTCCTCCTCTCCTTTTCGTTAGTGTGACTTTATAAATGGTCCAAGCTGGACTGAAATGTCGTCATACGCTCCTCTCTTCTAAGTGCGGGTTATTTGTGTATTGTTCCAGTCACAGTATTGCACCTTCTGTTTTTGTTATCAGTGCCTTTTATTGCTGCCACTTCTTTTTTTTTTTTTGTGTCCTACCCCGTTTTCTCACTATATTTTCTGTCTTCCTTCTGCTTTCCTAAAATTCACCTACTATAGCAAACTTCAAACTTAGGAATCACACTTTTTTTTTTTTTTATCACATGAGCTATCTCCCATCAAGGCAGGGTGACCCAAAGAAGGAAACATATTCATCATCACTTGTAAAGCAGATGTCTTGCCAGAAGTGTACTGACATACATTTCAAATATGATCTGAACCACAACATTCCCTGCCCATCTATCAAGAGTGAAAGCATCTCCAGAACTCAAGTCTGGCTAGTCTGTTTTCTGAATCCCTTCAAAAATGAAGCCTTGTTCACACTCCAATAGCATGTCAAATCTCCAAAACCACCATTCTTCACTTACTCCAATCTAATATGCTTGAACATATCTGCTGAATGATCAAGCCTCCTACCATTCATAAACCTCCTTCACCTCCTCTCTCCTACTCTTTGAGGAATGTCCCCTACTCCTTCTGTCCATGCTGAATTTACACTCCCTCTTGGTTAACCTATCTGTTCTATTCCTTTAAAGTGTCCAAACCATCTCGCATATCCTCCTATGCTCTCTGACTCATACCATTTTCCAATATTTATGCCCATTCTTTGCATGAAGGCAAAGAGGGGAATGTATGAGAGTATAGTTATACCAATGCTCTTGTATGGGTGTGAGGCATGGGTTGTGAATGTTGCAACAAGGAGAAGGCTGGAGGCAGTGGAGATATCATATTTGAGAGCAATGTGTGGTGTGAATATGAATCAGAGAATCCACAGTTTGGAGATTAGGAGGTGTGGGATTACCAAAACTATTATCCAGAGGGCTGAGGAGGGGTTATTGAGATGGTTTGGACACGTAGAGGATGGAATGAAATAGAATGACTTCGAGCTTGTATAAATCTGTAGTGGAGGGAAGGTGGGATAAGGGTCAGCCTAGGAAAAGCTGGAGGGAGGGGATAAAGGAGGATTTGTGTGCGAGGGGCTGGGACTTCCAGCAAGTGTGTGCGAGCATGTTAGATAGGAGCAAATGGAGACAAATGTTTTTTAGGACTTGACGTGCTGTTGGAGTGTAAGCAAGGTAACATTCATGAAGGGATTCAGGGAAACCGGCAGGTTGGACTTCATTCCTGGAGATGGGAAGTACAATGCCAGCATTCTGAAGGAGGGCTGTTAATGTTGCAGTTTTATAACTGTAGTGTAAGCATGCCTCTGGCAAGACAGTGATGGAGTGAATGATGAAAGTTTTTCTTTTTCGGGCCACCCTACCTTGGTGGGAAACGGCCGATGTGTTAATTAAAAACAATAAAAAATAAAAAATTCTCTACATAATATTCACACCATACATTAAACTCAAACATGACATCTCCACTGCCTCTAGCCTCTTCCTTGTTGCAATATTTACAGACTGCCTCACACTCACATTCATGTGTTGATGCAACTATGCTCTTATACATTACCTTTCATTTGCACCCGTTGATACACTTTTTCCATTTTACACCTGCCTCAACATTCTACCTATTTTTTTTCCCTCTAGTTATTACATATCAAATTCATTATCAATGCTCAAATGGATCTTCATACCTGTTAATACAAACAAAAATTCCACAATGAACTTACTACATCATTTCTACAGGCAATATTTGCAACAGTTCGACATAATGTCTTAAGAAAATTAGACTTGGTAGTATCATCTTGTATTAGGGTAAATGTGAAGAGACGCTCCTTCAGTTCCTGATTGCTCCGGATTACCAAGGCAAATACATTATGACAATCTGTCAAAAGAAAAAAATATTAGAATAAATATACAATTTGTTTCCCAGTTTTCCCTATTCATAAGGTGAGGAAACACTTGCCCAGAAAGAATGGAAAAGTTTTCTATGAAAAAAGTGTGTTGAATTATTGAATGAACAAAAATATTATGAGGTTCCTCTCCTAAGTGTAGGTTTGTGGTGACTAATTAACAACTTACACTTCATATTTCTCAAATTCCATACAAGTACAAAACCTTAAGAGTTCACTGTCTACAAAAACAAATCAATTAATATTTATGACTACTTTAATTATAATTTTTACTGACACAAAATAAATTTAAATGTTAACTACAGTATCATGTTTTGCAGTTCACTACTTTTACAATAATTTACAGCTTGTAATTAGAAATAAAATTTTTACTGGTAGCAATTCAGAGTAGCCTGTAATGTCCAAAAAAAATTCCTGAATTATTTAAGACAAAGACCTAATTAGCTGCAGAACAAGCTTTTATAAGTGAGACAATGTTTGGCTTTGTGGAACATTTTATCAGTTCATGACTGGATAAATCTCTACACAAAGCAAAACACTGTCCTACCAAAAGCTTCCTGTAACTTATGATTTTATCTTCATAATTGTCAACAATATGCTGCTTCATCCATCCGAATTATTGTAAATCAATATATCTTCCATATCTACCATATAAATTTTAACTTGAAATTGCAAAACTATGAACATTTGTGTAAATTTTATCACATGATTTATAAAAGACAAGTACATAAAATAATCTGGAAAAAGTTCTACCACAAACCCTATACTACTTATACATATGCTGTACACCTGACCATCAGGTAACCTGGTAGCTACGTTCCTGAAAACAGCAAGTAATCAAAACAGAGTGTAAACTGAACTGAGGAATTTTTTTTTTTTTTTCAACAAGTCGGCCGTCTCCCACCGAGGCAGGGTGACCCAAAAAAGAAAGAAAATCCCCAAAAAGAAAATACTTTCATCATCATTCAACACTTTCACCACACTCGCACATTATCACTGTTTTTGCAGAGGTGCTCAGAATACAACAGTCTAGAAGCATACACATATAAAGATACACAACATATCCCTCCAAACTGCCAATATTTGGGAAAAATAGGATTACATTCATTAAACCCCCAAAAAATGAAAAACAAATTCTGCATAGGTCTCCAAATTGTAAAAAAAAAAAATGCTAATACAGGTCCTCCATCACAAATCCGGCATCACTGGGACCTGTAGTGTGCCGGATTACTGAGTTTGCCATATTACAGAGTGGTTAGGTTAGAATAGACTTAATAAAATTAACCAACTTGACTTACACAAAGTCCATTGAACATTGGCCAAAATCGAACATTTCAGCAACTTTGAGCTCAATATCACAGTACTTTTCGTCGTGAAAGCAATCAAAATCATATCTATTTCTGTAATATATCTTCCATTCTATCATATGAGACCAAAAAACAAGAATAAAACCATAAATACCATACGAAAATATACCGCAAAGAGGCAGCTAATGGCTGAGAAGTGAACTCCCTTATTTATTGTCTGTTTTTTTTGGTGTACATTAAGAAGCATCTTTCCATCATACATTGCCCAAGTTTCAATAAGATAGCCCAACAAACAACTGAGAAAAAAAAAATATTTACCAAAAATCATACATGGCAAGCTCAAGCCAGGTACTGGAAATAAAGTCACTCTGTCTGATGTTTTTGGGTTATCCTAGGTTCTCTATACATACACTGCTATGTATGATGATCTACATAACTGTAATTGTGTATACCTGAAAGAACTTACTTATTTAATTACTTCTAGTCTGTTGACTGAGTACAAGAAACTGCCCATTCACCCATTTCAACTACCCAATAAAGTGGTCAGAAATTGGCAATTTGGCCAATTTCACACAAATTTCAACAGATGGCAATTTCAAAACAGGGTCCAGAATTAACAATGCAGACATTCCTGGCACTAAAATAACATTTTCTCTGTTCATTAGTTGCAGCTCCAGGCCCCTCTTATATTACTCTGGCTTACAATTTAGAATTTTTATTCACACAAAAAATAGAAGACTTACTGTTATGCAGACTACTGCATTATCGTAATAATTGTATAAATAATGTCAACCCATTCTTGACTGTGTATTGTTATTTGGACTGGCAGGCACACACGTATTAGACTTCTTCTTTCTTTCAATGCACCAGCCGTATCCCACCGAGGCAGGGTGGCCCAAAAAGAAAAACAAAAGTTTCTCCTTTTAAATTTAGTAATATACATGTATACAGGAGAAGGGGTTACTAGCCCCTTGCTCCTGGCATTTTAGTTGCCTCTTACGACATGAATACACGTATTAGACAGTGACGTCATTTGTTTACTCTTGAACATCGCTAAAGAATGGAACATTTCCGTTAATGTGAGCGCAATTTCAAGGTACAGCGGACCCCCGTATTAAGACGTCATCGGAATAAGTAATAATCAGAATAGGTAACGTTTTTGCATCAAAATATTGGCTTGGTGAACGCCACTGAACTCGGTATAAGTCGTTCGTGTCGGGGCCTAAGCTGCCCAGTATGCTATTGTTTACTAGCCACTGAGGATGATCCCACGCATTCATACACTACATTTTGTATTATTCCATTCTTTTTAGTGCTTGTAACTGCTAAATAAGCCACCATGGGCCCAAAGAAAGCTTCTAGTGCCAGCCAGCTGAGAGAGAGGTGAGAATGTGCCTTTTTCAGTGATTCTGCAATATGTATGATACTAAAGCAGCATGAGTCTATAAAGGCTATAGCGGCAGCCAGCGATAAAGTGTAGCATTAACTGTAGCAAGTAAGTCAAGCAAGTAATTGATAGAAAAAGGACAGCACGAACCTTCCTCCATTGTTGTTGGAGTTACATAGAGTGACTGACAACACCGCCGTCTCTAGGCTCTACCGCCTCCACCACCACTATGTACGGCTTATGTCTCAGTGGCCCTTATACACTCAACAACAACACAGCAACACTCATGACATAATGATGTATTTTATTCATTCTAGAGTATATGTCATGTTTCTATGTTATTAATATTGTTTATTATGTCATATTAGATGAATTATGCTAGATAAATAAGCCGTAGAGCTGATAGTAGTATCATATTGAAGGACTATCTTGTGTCTCCCAACACAATTCCTAACATGCGCCAGAAACAGACCTCTCTGGAAAACTTTTTTGAGCGGCATGAGTCCAGGGGTCGTCCTCGAAAGGGTTGGAAAGAGGGGGTAAAGGAGGTTTTGTGGGTGAGGGGCTTGGACTTCCAGCAAGCGTGCATGAGCGTGTTAGATAGGAGTGAATGGAGACGAATGATACTTGGGACCTGACGATCTGTTGGAGTGTGAGCAGGGTAATATTTAGTGAAGGGATTCAGGGAAACCGGTCATTTTCATATAGTCGGACTTGAGTCCTGGAAATGGGAAGTACAATGCCTGCACTTTAAAGGAGGGGTTTGGGATATTGGCAGTTTGGAGGGATATGTTGTGTATCTCTATACGTATATGCTTCTAAACTGTTGTATTCTGAGCACCTCTGCAAAAGCAGTGATAATGTGTGAGTGTGGTGAAAGTGTTGAATGATGATGAAAGTATTTTCTTTTTGGGGATTTTCTTTCTTTTTTTTGGGTCACCCTGCCTCGGTGGGAGACGGCCGACTTGTTGAGAAAAAAAAAAAAAAAAAAAAAAAAAAAAAAAAAGAGTCCAGTGACTCTCAAGCTAGTCCTAGTGGCATTAAAAAACAAAGGAGGGAAGTAACCCAAGATAAGGACTTGGTACCTGAAGTCTTTATGGAGTGGGATTTCCCTTAAAAACAATAAAGGTAAGTGTGATGTTACTGTTTTATTCTCCATGCATCATTGTTTCCTGTGTAGGTAAATGTATATTTCATGTAGAAAACATTTTTTTAACACTTTTGGGTGTCTGAAACGGACTAATTGGATTTCCATTATTTCTCATGGGGAAAATTAATTCAGATTAAGTCAGATTCGCTTTAAGACACTCTCTCTGGAATGGATTATGTTATCCGGGGGTCCACTGTACTTTTCGTTGAGAAAGCAATCAAAATCATATCTATTTCTCTAATATATCTTCCTTTCTATCAAATGAGACCAAAAAAACGAGAATACAACCATAAAAACCACACGTAAATACAGTGGACACCTACCTTACGAACGCATCGCATTACGTTAAATCCGCCAAACGAAGCATTTGAACGCAAAAATTTTGCCTCGCCTCATGATAAAAAACTCGCCTTACGTGATTCGTCTGGGACGCGTCCCAAATGTGGCCTCAGCGCAGTGTTTACAAGCCAGCCAGTGAGGTCGCATCTACGTATACATTCGATACATTTCACATTATCCCAGTGTTTTTAGTGTTTGTAGCTGAAAAATAAGTCACCATGGGCCCCAAGAAAGCTTCTAGTGCCATCCCTGTGGTAAAAAGGGCGAGAATTAGTATGGAATTGAAAAAAGAGATTAAGGAAATGTGTGCAAAGTGGGTTGAACTGCAAACCTTCAAGGATGAAAATCACCCTGACACAGCTACTGCAAACCGTGTTGGCAACTTGTACAATGACAATGCTATGGCCCATTTTAGGAAAGTCTTAAAGGAACGGGAGGTACAGAGCTCTATGGACAGATTTGTTGTGTGACAGAGGTCCAGTGACTCTCAAGCTGGTCCTAGTGGCATTAAAAGAAGAAGGGAAGTAACCCCGGAAAAGGACTTGCTACCTCAAGTTCTAATGGAAGGGGATTCCCCTTCCAAACAATAACTTCCACACTCTCCCCTCCTCCCATCCCATCAATCATCACCAGATCTTCAATAAAGGTAAGTGTCATGTATTCTATTCTTAGTAGAGTAGTAATTGTGCATGTCTTCTTCAGTTTGTGTGTATTAAAATTAATATTTCATGAGGTAAAAAATTTTTTTTTTCATACTTCGGGGTGTCAGGAACGGATTAATTTGATTTC